GCAAGGTGCATCTCGTAAATAAGGGTCCTTGGTTACTTTCATGTTTTAGCCGAAGTCCATCTTGAACAATTGATATCACCGTTTACATGGAATAGTTATGAACGTCTGTGGTAGAAATGCACTGTTCCTTCGCGAAAGTGCGAATATTTTCATGTTTCGGTCATAAAAATTCAAAGAAGAATTCATTCGCTTTAGTACAGTTTCCAGAGACTGGTCAAAAAGCTTGGCTTGTCACCCTGATTAGGACTCTATATTCAACGCGAGGTGCCATCTAGGCAGAAACATTAAATGTGGGGGAAAGTCGCCGAATGAAATTTTCATTTATTCAAAAGATATCACTTCAAGTCGGGGGCATATTGAAAGCATGGGGAATTTTAAAAATAACTACCGTCGACATTGGACCAAACATATTTTCGATAACTAGTATTCAAGGCATTTAATGAATTGTAAACGTGTTGGTTACTATATGACAAACTGTGTAAGATCAAAATGTTTTTCTTCAGACTCGGCTGGAACTACTCTTTTTTAGACGATAAGTACAGCCCATGGAAGAAGCCAACAGAAACAGAGGAACCGGATGAATTTAATTTTCGTAGTGTTCCTCTTTTTCTCGCTTTTGTTCATTTTTTTAAAACCAATGGGTAAATTGAATGACAAATACGTGTTATTAAAACTACGGCCGCAATTACCTAGGGATGGGCGAATGATCCCTCAGAAACCACCGTGACTAGTCTCGCAAAATTTTCGTCAAGAGGTTATGTGCGTCTTGCAAACCTCTCTCGGAGTCTCGTTTTTTGCAAGTCTAAGCAAGTTTCGAGGTCCCAGTTCGTTTGTTTGCTTTTAAAACTGACNAAAAAAAAAAAAAAAAAGAAATTAAATGACAAAACGTTGCTCAATTTTCGCTTTAAGAGGAGTCAATAAAGTACCTATGACTAAGCTGAAGGTAAACCCCCCTAAAAAACAGAAACTCGGGTATGTTTCAAATGTCCAGTAAGTTTACACAAAAATTGTACCTATTTTTCTTTTAAGATGGTCATATTTTGTGGTAATCACACCATTTCGTTAAGTAGGCGTTTTCTTTAGTTACGATTCAATCTGGGGCCGAGAGTCCTCCCGACTTGGTCAGCTTCTCCCCCCCTTCCCCACAGATAGACCCAAGGTTAGCTGTTGTTAAAGATTGTTCTATTTTTCTAGTTTTGAATTGGTTTATCCCTGCCTGCCTTATCACGTCAGTTGCGTTCCTTTTGGATTTACATCCGGGCACTTTGTTTTGTACCACCTGGTTTGCCCTTGGCTTGTGCCCGGGCGTAGCTAGAGTTGGCATAGAAGTGGGTGCTATGTGAAGTTAAAGGCGCAGAAGTCCAGAGCCGGGTTGTTCAAAGCCCGATTAAGCTAACCCAGGATTAGCGAGAATTTTGATTTGAGTTTTGTAACTTTTCGGTCAGGTTTTCTGTTTATGCTGTTTGTCCTTCAGTTTTGAGCTCGACTAAGCTCAAACTACACAAAATGTAAGCAGTAAAAAATCCTGGCTTAGGGTTAACCGGCTTTCGAACAACCCGGCCCAGAAGATTAAACTCAGAAGAACTTCAAGTCTCAGATTCCCGATATCTCTCGTTGGTGTCCAGTTAGTTCCCAACAAGCCGTCGAGCATGGGACGCTTATGCCCTGACCAAAATGATTTTGTGTCAGTTGGTAGAGCTCTGTACCGGTATCTCAGAGCTCATGGCTTCGAATCCGGTAGAAAGAAAGCTTTTTCAGCTCTTGTTTCCACTGAAGGTAAATCTCTTCTCACTCAAAAAATTGCAAACATATTCACAGCAAACAACCAGATCGATTGTTACAACACAAGGCAAGTACACTCCTTTTGTCTTCCATCATTATGTAAAACTAAAATACGGTAATTCTCTGTTTTCTATAGTTCTCCAAAATATCTTAATTCTCTTCCTCCTGAGATGACTGGGACTTCATCTCTTGCATCCTTTAGTAAAAAACTTAAAACAGCTACTATCAGCAATTACTAATTCTCTTAAGCGTACAAATACGGCTTGTCAATACGTTATTTGCCATAATAATGTATAGTTTTAGTCATCTTGTATTTCGTGAGAGGGAACCTAAGTTTACAACACCCGTGGTTTTTATTAGCTAGGTTCCCTCCCTATTTTTTTTACATGTTAATAATTGTAAGAGGATTGAGGGCTAACCGTACGCGTTATTCAGTTGCTGGCCTACTGATATTATTCATACCACATCTCCTAACCGCGGGAGATTTTTTTCTGTTGCATTTGGCAAGGAAACACCTTTGCATACGTGCTGTATATTACAGTACATGATCTTTTTTGGCATATCGAGACTTTTGTTAGACACCAGCATACCCCACAGCGGTTCCCACGCCAGAAAGTCACGAAATCATCATTTTGGATTGAACTACATCTAGCCTGCAATGGATACTATATATATATTTTAATGCAAATAAGATGAAGCTGTTTGTCATACATTCAAAATAGCCCATAGATACAGTGCTGCACGCGTTTTTGAGGGAATTAATTTTGCGGTTCAGCGTTCTTTTTGTAATTTGCCATTGCAATTAATTACGTTTGAGGAAGACTTTTTTTTTTGTTGAGTATTAATATTTGCGATTTTCAGGAGGTCGCGTTTGCTTTGAATTAAAACATTTTATTATATAAACACCAGTGAAATATCAGGTGAGCTTTCGCACGTAAACATGATATCTTCACACATCACCCTCGACCACGTGAAAATGTTATTTTCACGTGTTCGAGGGTCTTATTTATAGTTTTAAAATGGAATAATAATTTCTTAAATAACATGTTATTTTCACAAGTGAAAAGATCACCATTGTTATGGTTACATACTCCCTTAAAAAGTACTTAGATATGTTGCTGTATGATCGAAACATCATCGGTTCTTTCTCAAAAATCTTCGGTTATCTTCGGAAATCTTTGCTAATCTTCGGAAATTTTCGGAAAATGTTTGGAAAACGTTTGTCTGGCCTTCGGACAACTCTTGGAGAATCTTCGGAGACTTGGAAAGTGTTCGGAAATCTTCGGAAAATCGCCAAAAAGTCGTCATTAATTTGTTGATATAATAAACAAAATAATACATGACTGCTTGTAGATATGGAATTTCTCTTCTCGTGTTCAACTTTATATCTCACTTGTTCGTTGCGCTCACTCGTGAGATATCAAGTTTCATTATATAGACACGAGTGTTTTAGTGGAAAATAGTCCACTCGTAAAATTCATAGGAAACCACATCCGGGACTCGAGTGGCGAATTTTCCAAATCCTAACTAGTGAGGATATGGGTGATTTCGCTGATATCAAATTTGTCTCTTAAATTGCACTGCTTGTACTTAAAATCGTTGGTGTATGATCGAAACGTCTTCGGGTCTTCCTCGAAAGTCTTCGGTAATGTACTGTAATTTTCGAAAATTGTTCGGCAACGTTCGTGTGACGTTCGGACAAATTTCAGAGAATTCTCGAAAATCTTCGGTAAGTGGTCGGAAATCTTCGGAAAATCGTCAAAAACGCTGTCATCGGTATGTCTATATGATAAAAAGAACATTACTCGTTAGCTTGAAGATATAAATTTTATGTTTTCGTGGCAAGACCAATATCTCACGAGTGAGCTGCGCTCACTCGTGAGATATTGTTCTTGCAACGAGAACATCAAATTTATATCTTCTCGCTACCGTCTAATATTCTCTATGACTCAAAGAGAAATTCCATATCTACGCGCACCCATGTATTTTCCTCTATTTGTTTTATCTTACACTACAATACAAATCACTAGTGAAACAACATGAAGAGATGAAAAACGCAGTAATCAGTGTCACTCTATTACAACTGACATCTTGAACAAGTGTGGCTGTTAGTACCTCTAGGCGGTCCTTTTCTGTAAAATTCTTAGCGTCTACACCTATAGTGTACCAAGGTTAATCAAAATAATTACAACTTCCTCAAATGTGATTGGTGCATGAACTGGTGTATTTTGCTTTAATTTATCTGCAAAGTTGTAATCGGACAGAATAATCGGACAGTTGGCTGTAATCAGACACCTGTAATCGGACAGTTACATGAGCCAATCATTTTAAGTCGTCCCCACTAAATCCATCAATGACAACACTGATTACAGTCACTGTAGTAACCGATTCAAGACACTTTTGATGGTTTAGTTTCCGGTGACTGTTTTGAAAGAAACTTAACAGCCATTTTGCAAGCTATTCCCATATTCCTAATTATGATATTTAAAAGTGACTATCAAAAGCTATTTTCAAATAGTGGGAAATTGTAATGGTTATGATTAATTGGTAACAGGACATCGGGTCGTCCAATTCAGCCTGTAATAATACTCATGATTAACAAATTAAATCGGACTCCCGCTTCGCGGTCGTCCGATTTTGTTAATCACTCGTATGCATACAGACCGAATTGGACTCCACGCAGTCCTATTACCATAAATAATTTCATCGTTATATTTCTTGAGGTTTGGTTTATTTCATCGTTTTCTTTCTGCAGTGCGGGAACCTTTTTTTGTGGCTCGTGGAAAAGACCTCTAAAATCGCAATAAATAGAACCCGCAAAAATCCTGTGCCCCACGGTAATGACATTCAGCACACAAGATAATTACTCATGCCGGGAAGATTTGATTAAAAACAAATTAAAGACTGGAACTGAATATCATCAGAATTGAAATTTTGGGTTAAACGTAGATGAAAGAAATAATAATGTTTTCTGACATAAAACGTTCAGAACTCGTCTTCGATCCGACACAAGATCCTTTCAAACAATACATCCACAAGTGTCTGCCACAGAATGTGCTCAGGGTTTTGTTAGAGTTTCCTTGGCAATTTCTTCTCTTTGTGAATGACGCAAAATTAATTATAAAACCTTTCAATTGGCAAACAAGAGTCTCACGAAATACTTAGGGTCGGGCCACATATAGCACGAGTGTCCAATACTCTTCAACAAGGTGAGTAATTTACTCTCTGTACTAAAAGCTCCTGTCGCTTTTTTTCCTACTTAAATCAACGGGATTCACACGTCAAATTAGCGTTAAGTGGATTATGGAAATTGACCTTTCCAAAGCAAAGCACGCTTGGTTAATAGACCAAGAAGGAGCGAGGAGAAGTTACATTACGGTAATTAATCTCTTCAACTTCGATTCTTCTTCACTAATATTATACTCAAACCATGAAATGTCCTAGTTTTAAATAACTTTCTTAACGCAATAGCTAAACACTACACCCACTGGGCAACAGCGCGCCATAGTGGCTATTACTGTGGACCGTATAATTACTACGGCTGAAAAATGGTTCTTTTCCGTATGATTCTGTAACACACGAGATCCGCACCACTGGAGCGATTGGCGAATGCGCCTGTCTGTCGATCTGCAAGGTGCATCTCGTAAATAAGGGTCCTTGGTTACTTTCATGTTTTAGCCGAAGTCCATCTTGAACAATTGATATCACCGTTTACATGGAATAGTTATGAACGTCTGTGGTAGAAATGCACTGTTCCTTCGCGAAAGTGCGAATATTTTCATGTTTCGGTCATAAAAATTCAAAGAAGAATTCATTCGCTTTAGTACAGTTTCCAGAGACTGGTCAAAAAGCTTGGCTTGTCACCCTGATTAGGACTCTATATTCAACGCGAGGTGCCATCTAGGCAGAAACATTAAATGTGGGGGAAAGTCGCCGAATGAAATTTTCATTTATTCAAAAGATATCACTTCAAGTCGGGGGCATATTGAAAGCATGGGGAATTTTAAAAATAACTACCGTCGACATTGGACCAAACATATTTTCGATAACTAGTATTCAAGGCATTTAATGAATTGTAAACGTGTTGGTTACTATATGACAAACTGTGTAAGATCAAAATGTTTTTCTTCAGACTCGGCTGGAACTACTCTTTTTTAGACGATAAGTACAGCCCATGGAAGAAGCCAACAGAAACAGAGGAACCGGATGAATTTAATTTTCGTAGTGTTCCTCTTTTTCTCGCTTTTGTTCATTTTTTTAAAACCAATGGGTAAATTGAATGACAAATACGTGTTATTAAAACTACGGCCGCAATTACCTAGGGATGGGCGAATGATCCCTCAGAAACCACCGTGACTAGTCTCGCAAAATTTTCGTCAAGAGGTTATGTGCGTCTTGCAAACCTCTCTCGGAGTCTCGTTTTTTGCAAGTCTAAGCAAGTTTCGAGGTCCCAGTTCGTTTGTTTGCTTTTAAAACTGACGTCTGAACGCTTTGCACTCGCATTTAAAACACTTTGACGTGTCAGTTTCGCAATTTAAAAAGTCAAAATGTCTCACGGGTACGCTAGTCCGCCTTCTCGTTAAGTCTCGTATTTACCATTCACCATAAACGTGTTTGCAAACGACTAATTGCGTCCGTTTGTTTCCATATTTACTTTATTATTTTGTAGTTCTTGATATTTACCTCCGGGGTTTATACTAAAACAATTATTCTTCTGAAGCTCAGTGAACATCTATGAATATTTATCTCGACTTCGTCTTGGTAAATTATCACCAATGTTCAATTCGCCTTTGGCAAAAATACAGTTGTTTACTATTAATTACCAAAAATAACAAGCATGTAATGTATACGTACATACTTCAGACTTATCGTGCCGGTAAAAATCTTTGTTTTCAGGTCGTCTGAATAATGCCGAAACCCATAATTAGATCCTTTGCTTCTAACGTCATCGTGCCCTATGTTGGATCACCATAAATAAAATAATTTTAATAAGCTTTATTGTTTCTTTCATCCAACATCATGATGGCCGTCACGGTACGCGGTCTTTGTCACTTGAACTTTAATTTCCAGGAATGGTTGCAAACGATCGACCTATATATTTCGATACAATTCTAACTTCCAATCAGACGCATTAACATAAATCCCATCAGCTTCCTAGCACATAATATTCTTTACTTTGCGTCAAATAATACTTCAATATGTGTCTGTGGACATCACGTTTCCGATTTGCGGAAGCTTCATGAAAAAGATGATGTATTCGGTGATTGAAGCAATAATGTTCAGTTAAAAATAATTCCAAGCACAAATGTAAAGAATTAGCTCAAGAGAAGAATGCCTCCTTAGTAGCAGGAGTTGACGTGATCGTATCAAATTGTCACCACTATTTTCAAAACTACTTTGAAAACTTTATCAATCTCCATCCTTTATTTCCCACCTTATTAACAAAGTGTGATACCATTGCTTCGTGTGAAGTATTTTAGACTCTCTTTTCTAAATAATGCTGCTCAGGCTATCCTTATGAACAATCTCTCCCCAGGAAGTAAAATCCAGGAAACGTTTGGTTCTTTAAGCAATCAGACCAAATAAAGTTGCCTTGGAAAACGTCTTCTTGTTTAAGTACATTTTGTTTATTCAATTCACTTACTCCTAATTTCACGTTTCTATATCAGATCATCAACTCCATTGCAATTTTATCTTAGTTAGTCTACATTTGTATATTTCCGTACAGACATACATGTCAGAATTAGATCCACTGTTATTTTAATTTTTTTCATTTAACCAGCGGCAGAGATGTGGCGGAGACCTACATGCCGGGTTCGTGATGTTTTCATGGGCGTGCTGATTGGCTTGGGTGTAGCGGGACTTTTGGTTAAGTGGCATATCGACAATGATCACGACAAAAAAATGTTGGTGAAGAGATTCAACGATGGTGAGAAAATTTTCAAGCATTTAGCAATGCACTTACTTGAATGACACCCCCATTAGCCTCAGTTGCAAGCTAGTTCCAAGCCAATATCGAGAATACCAATGTGGTCTATTCTTTATGATGTAGCTTTAGATGAACACTAACATGCTTAGCTAGTAACGAACATTGATGTAAGGAATTCCTTTAGTCAATCATTAACAATACCCTCTAGGAAACATTTTCTGAGTTATATATTTAGTTTAAATTAAGTAAGAATTTGATTGACCCATTTTATTTACAATGCAAATTAAGTTGGATTTATTTATATTTATATGTAGTTTTCCTCAGAAAGATTCTTTTAAGGGCATTTGACACCCTTCTGCGCATGTGCGGCAGTGTGATTTCTCTTCCGAGGTAGCAGTTTTCAAATAATAATAGTAATAATAATAATAATAATAATAATAACGATAATAACGATAATAATAATAATAATAATAATAATAATAATAATAATAATAATAACAATAATAATAATCTTTATACAGGAGGCTCCACTCACTAATGTGGTTTTCAGGCAGGTCCTGAAATAAAAATGATGGCGATTAAAAAATTGAATGAAACCAAAATTATTACAGCGCTGATAAAAAACCTCTAAAAGCTAAAAAATATATAACTAAAGATATATAAAGTTGAAACATTGAAACTCGTAGTAAAATATAAAATACAATTAGTCATTTACGGTTAATACAACTATCTAGCTTATATGTACCTAATATTTACATTAATGTTTTGCGAAGGACATTCTTAAAGTCTCTTAAAGATAATTTTTTTGTTGTTGGCGACAGGTCATTCCAGTGAGCTAAAACACTGTTAAAGGATCTAAGAAGTCCCCAGTTGGTAACAGATTTTGCGGTTCGAATGATTTCCTTAGAGCAGGTGTTATAGCTATGATAGTCTTGTCCTCGTACAGTGATGATGTCATTTCTACGGTTTATATTGTTAAAGTGACTTAGTTTGGAGTTGCTACCAATGATCACGAACATCGACTTTGCAACATTTAATGTCAACTTGTTGACATTTAGCCAGGATATAATCGCTGCCAAGTCCGCATTCAGTTTTGATTGGGCAGCTCTCATGGCAATGAAACGCCATATCATCAGCGAACATAGTCATCTTTGAATGTTTTAAGACAGATTGAATATCGTTTATGTACACTAAGAAAAGCAGTGGCTCAAGAATACTGCCCTGAGGTACCCCCATAGTGATATTAGCTTGGGGGGAGAATGCATCATTACAGATCGTTTGTTGGAATCGACCAGAGAGACATGAGCGGAACCACGCCAAGCTCTTTCCAGCCACTCAACCCTTGTCCATGCTCACTAGGATTTGATCTGTAAATTCAATTAGGGTGGTAGATGTTGAGCGCTTCTGGCGGAAACCAAACTGTGAGTGCGATAACAGTTCGTTCTGTTCTCAGTAGGTACCATGAAAGCTGAACATGCGCTAATCTCTCTATAATCTTGCTCANAAACCTCTAAAAGCTAAAAAATATATAACTAAAGATATATAAAGTTGAAACATTGAAACTCGTAGTAAAATATAAAATACAATTAGTCATTTACGGTTAATACAACTATCTAGCTTGTATACACCTAACATTTAATTAATTGTTTTGCGCATTCTTAAAGTCTCTTAAAGATAATTTTTTTGTTTTTGGCGACAGGTCATTCCAGTCAGCTAAAACACTGTTAAAGGATCTAAGAAGTCCCCAGTTGGCAACAGATTTTGTAGTTCGAATGATTTCCTTAGAGCGGGTGTTATAGCTATGATAGTCTTGTCCTCGTACAATGATATTATTTCTACTGTTGTCATTGACTAAATTATACATATGGATGCAACGTTGCATTTGCCTTCTGGCAGACAGGTTCATCCAGTTTAGATCTGAAAGTGCTTCGGATGAATACGAATACGGCGACCTATCCAGGACCAATTTAGCAGCGCTACTTTGGAGAACTTGGATTGAATCCATGATCATATTTGACCTCGTGTTTGACGAAGATCAAATATACAGTAAATCCAATTTTTCTCGCCGTGATTCTGCTCTGTTCATTCTTTCTGTAATATATTAGTTGTTTTATTTGTCCTTATCTCATCAAATCAGTTCAACCAACATCAGAGAGACTGTAAAATGTAGTGTATAGTTTCAACTCGTTACATAATCAAGTACAAACTCCTTGTCATCAGTTCATATTTCTTAGGTTTGATTTTTGAATAAAACTTTCTTCGCAGCTTGGTGGCTTTTTTCCTCAAGGGTTCTTTTCAGTAAAGATCGAACCAACAGTGTCCTGGTTAAAGTTTGGAGAAGAGCAAAACTGGCCAGAAGAGACGATTCTTGATACTACCAAGAGAAATCGACAGAATGGTTTCCAGAATATCGCGTCTCACTGAGTTTGTTCAGTTGTGTGTTAGTGTCTGTTATGCACATATGGTAAAACATGCAAATATTCAGACATAGTAACTCAAGAGTAGTTGAAATGCATTATATTGTACCACTGACAGTCCAGAGCAGAAAACAGATTTCCGTGCTCGGATTTTCTATGTTATTTTTGTGCGTCATTCACATTTTAGTCGCTGGACATGGCTTAAAGTGCCACTAATGGCACAGAATTAACGTCGGTATAGGCTCGTTCTACAAATATCACGTAAAATCGCCTAAATATCTTTCCGGAAATTCTAAAAAATACTCCTAAATATCACAAAAAAATTTCTTGAAAAACCCTCTAATTATCTCATATTTGTGTCGTAAACATGCACCGATTTTGAATCACTTAGGCCGAAATTTTAAAATTTCTTGCAGTGGCAGGAGTTGAGGAAGAAGAGTCAGGCGCTTCGATGTTAACAATATCCGCCATTTTTGAAATTTGTTCCTTCAGCGCTTTTAGTGATATGCATGGAATACATTTTTCAAGTGGGAAATCGCTGAGCCGGATTGTTTCTGGCATAAATCAGAGTCTTGTTTCGAGGGAATAGCGAGGGAAACACAGGGCTTAGCCAAAAAAAGCTGTGAATATTGCTAAATATCCCTAAATTTTCTGAATATCTTAATATTTTCTAAATATCTCGGAAAATTCTAAATATCCCAAGAAATATCCGGAAAGGCCTACGTCGGTATATGTTCTCTTTCTTTTTTTCCAATAAACCATAAGCTATACCTGAGTTCATTTAGTCGCGTGTTTGTAACTTTGTCAGATTTGGTAAAATGTGCAAATGTTCCGCGTCCCTCTCGTTAATGCAGCACAAAAAGACATTCATTAAAACGGAGTTTTTCTCTTTATATTGCTGGCTTGAAAACGAAGATAAGACTGAAAAGGACAGGTCGTAAGTCGATGTTTAGTAAATTGAGTTCATCGCCAATAAATTATTGTTTTACAAATGTATTGCATTTTTTTAGTGCGCCGTCAAGCATTAGAAGTCTCTCGGAAACAGCGTTCCGTTTGCGCGAATGCAGACTTACAAAAACACCCAGAAGAGGCTACGCCCTCGAGAAGAAGATGATTGGTTAAAATTTTGTGACAGTGTTCAAATCTTAAATTTTCATTGGTTCGCTATAAATAACAGCTAGTAATAAATACACATATAAATTCAGCTGTTGTCAAACCAAGTCAGTATCTACAGGAACAAAAATTCTGCCGTCACAAAAGAGATTGCGCCTTTCAACTCCGTTACGATGAAATCTGTTTTCGTCCTCGCCTTTCTTCTTTGCATTTCCGTCGGTAAGTTCTATAAAGATCATAGTATTGCCGAACGTTTTATTTGTCTGATTCATTTATTTCATGTTTGGAGCTCGATTTTGGCCATAGCACAACTACAGCAGGCTCCGTTTTGCAAGCGGTAGTATACTCTGAAGAATCTAAAAAAAAAGGAAAACAAAAACAAAACAAAACAAAGAAAAGATGAGAGGACGAACATCGGACACTTTATATAGCTGCAGATATGGTTGCAAGATGGAAGAAAGTAAAACGTATGTGCTTGTATTCAACGGACAGGGCCACAAAACATAAACATGATAAATATTGTTTAGAAACAAAAGCTCTAAAGGCGGCGGAAAAAAAAGATTTTGGACAGGCACGTGAAACTTCAAGCTGACTTGGGGCGAATACGTGGCACACGTGATAGTAATGCGATTTCTAGTGGTTAAAAAAGCAAATTGGTTTCAATCAAGACCGCACATGCGCTTTATCGTGACAATGGTCCTTTAAGCTTTGCAGCTTGACTTGACTCATTAGCTGTTGAAACTAGAGACCTAACAAGCCCCAATTGCTTGAGGATAAATGAAGTATCTATATATCTATTTATTGCGACAGATTTCCCAGAGCAAGAAGATAAAGATGATTCTGATACACAAGAAAGTGACCGAAGCGTCATTTCTTCAGGTAATTTGATGTTTGGTTAGTTTTAATCACTTTTAATTCGCCAATATTTGTCTAGGGTCATATTATCGATCTACTGGGGAATCAGTAATGTGAACCATTCCCAGTCAACAAAAATTCAAATTTATCGTTTTATTTATCTATTGCAACAGTCTAAATCTCCCTTTATGCGTAACATACATGTAATGACATAGCAAGTTTTCTTTTCTTGTAGGAAAAGATTTCCCGGATCCTTCTTTTGTATCTGATAGACCAGCTGATTCTTTTACAAGGGAAAATGAACAACGCGCTTTTACTGATAAAGCTGTACTTAATGAAGACGTCATTCCTTCAGGTAATTTGATATTTAGTTAATTTTAATCACTTCATTAATTCGCTAATATTCGTCCAGGGTGATATTGTCTATTTATTGAAGAATCAATTATGTAAACCATATCTACTGCAGCAGTTTAAATCTTCCTTTATGCCTAACATAATGACATGCCAATTTTTTTCTTTCCTTGTAGGCGAAGATTTGCTGGAACCTACTTTTGTATTTAATAAACCAGCTGATACTTTTACCAATGAAAATAAACAAAGCACTTTAACTGATAAAGCTGTTTTTAACGAAGACGTCATTTCTTCAGGTAATTTGATTTTTAGTTAATTTTAATCACTTTTAATTCCCTAATATTCTATTGAGGAATTAACTATGTAAACCATTCCCAGTCAGCTAAAATTTAAATTCATCGTTTTATAAATCAGATGTCACCTTCTAAATTCTCCTTACGTCATGCAGCAAGGCAAGCTTGAATGTGAAAAGTATCTTGCGTTTGTTTTGGTTTTGCATTATTACGCGACGCGACTGGCTTACAAAAGGTTGCGCCACTTTGTCATCCAATCAGCAGTAAAACTAAAACCATGTTGTGGGTCGCTTACATACTTTATCCCACGCTTCCGGCTGTCTAGATGGCTGCAGTGTCTTCTGTGATTTGCCAGATGATTACTTGTTTTGGTTTACGACACTCGCTTGAAAATCGCTCTAATTTCGTTTGATGATATTTTTTTTCTTTACATCATGTGCATGCAATTCCTATTACCATATCTGATCGCATCTTTTCGGCACCACTTGGTAACTTGTCAAATGAGACAGGACAAGTCATGTTTTGTATTTTGTCGAGACGCCGTTGAGCCAAAGCATCGCTAACGAGACCAAATTAACTTAATACGTCGCCGAAGCTTACCAAAAAGATATGGTGGGGTATTTACTGTATTCAAATTCAACCATTTGACCGTCATTGACTTGATACCACAAAATATCGAGACAGAAAACAAGGTTTCTTATTGGCTAATTGCTAATTTGGTTACTACAACTAAGAGATTTTACGTACTCGTAATGGAGGTGCTTAACTTTTATTTTCTGTTTCTGATACAGGCGAGCCAAACTCACAGAGCAGTTTATATAAAGCTTATAGTCACGTGCGAACCATCTTGTTTTTCATTGGCTACGAGCGTAGCCGTCACAGCCTTCTTGGTGCTTTACTGGATGCTCATCCACACATGGTCGTATCTGACGAGTCAATGGCTTTTGGCAAGTGGAGATCAAATCAAAACAAATGGATGAACAGTTCCATATACTCATTTTACGACATAATGGTCCAAACATCGCAGCGTGACGTCACTAAAGGAAAAAGGTCTCAAGTATTTGAAGGAAGTGTGGTGAACGCGACTTCTAGATTTAAATATTTCGTTCCCAACCAATGGCAAGGAAGCTTTGATCGGTACATTGAGGTGAGCAGAAACTGGTGCGTTACGCTTGCTATAATAAAAGGATTCGGTGGGGTATCTCAAGCATCAGGCGCTATGTATGCTCCGGGAATATAGTGTTTCAGTTTCACTTTATTATTTTGCTACACAAATATTTTTACAAATATGTTCAGGGGAGTCTTTGTTTACAACATTTACTTCATCAACAATGCGATTCAATTTCTGATCAAGCTGGAAAACTATCAGTTCTAAATATTGAAAGGGCATACCACAGATAACTGCCCCAAGGAAATTTAGACCGATGTATTTAATACTTTTTGTGCGACGCATGTTTAAAAACTCATCAGTGCTTTCGCCACCCAGAAATTTCACAGCATTCAAAAGCTAATTTCCCCTTGAACATTACACCCAGAAAGCCAAAAATGTTACCCTTTACTAAGATTCACAAGCTCTTCAAATGTTTGATGTCAACTAGTACTCAGCATGCATGATGCCTTCTCTGCCCAATGTCGTATGATAAAAAGGAAAAATGTAGAAAGCGATTTTTCTAAAAGCACCTTTTTTTTTTGTACTAAAAAGACAATGTGATCCTTGCGAAATGAAAAGTTGCCGTAACTCAAACAAAGGAGGAACGTTATAAGTAATTTTCCTCTTCAAAGCGTTGGAGGCATATCTAATTTGCTTCTTTGGGTTGTTTTGATTAGACACTTCACAATCAACTTTCTACTTCATGTTGTGACATATAAGGCCTCTACATTCTGCCGCCAACCAGCTCTGTGGGCTGCTGCAAAGCATACGTCGTCCTAGGTCCTCCATCCAGTTCGTTCCCCTTCCTTCTCCGCTGTCTTCCTCCATGTTTTCTTGGGTCTACCCCTTCTTTCGGCCTCTTCTGGCGTCCATGGTTTGATCGAGCAGATAAATTTAAACCGCGTCTCATTTTACGCCTTGCAATCATTACAAAAACTACTCTATCCCAAGGTAATGCTAAGCTGGCAGTTGTGTTCTCCACTTAAATTT